GACAACCGATGGGGAAGAAAGGTCCTTGAGTGGCAGCCTCGTACCGGTAGGCGAAGTGTAGGGCGACCCCCCACTAGATGGAGTGACGACCTGGTAAGACATGCAGGAAGTCGATGGATGCAGGTGGCTCAGGACCGTGCTTTGTGGCATTCCTTGAGGGAGGTCTATGTTCAGCAGTGGACTTATGAAAGGCTGTAATGATGATGATGATGATGATAGTGATTCGTTATTCGTGCCTCGGCAGCAAGAAAAAGCAGGTTGTTATGCCATTCTGCCGCCATTCATGTTTCCGCGTCTACCCTGTTTATCAACTTAATCACAAGTGTGCTTTGTTGAAACTTTACAACAAGATTGTCGCTAAGATGGATAAAAGTACAAACTCATTAAGCATGTCTTAACCGATTCGTTGCGACACCAATTTTCAACAACTTTTAGAGCTGTGCCAGCGAACAAATATTTTGTGACACGCCATATCAAGCGCCATATTTAAGTAAGCCGCTGACGCCGCGACGCGCGTTCTTTCCACACATCATTTTTTTCGGTACCGAAATTATTTCGATAAAGATATTAGTAATATATAAGATTAAATATAACGATACCGTAAAAAATGTATGTATAATTATTTTTTTAACGGTACCACAACCGTAATATGCAACCGTTTTGGTTCTACCTTTAAATCGAAGCTGTATAGTAATTCTATACCGGTACCATACCCTAATACCTTTACTGCTTTCAACCCCTGGTTTGACCGCATCCTATCCCAATCCAAACCACGTATAGTGCCAAACACGGCGGCAGCCTGCAGAATGCAACCGCAATGTTAGTGTGAGTGGCACCATAGGGTATTAGTGTTCTGTGGGCACCACACTCCGGACTAGACAATGGTTCGAGGAGCCAAGAGGGGCGTCGACAGAGACCTGATATCTATCCGTATGAGAGGTCAGCAGAAGATCCAACAGGGAAGGTGCATGAACCTCCACATATGGAATCCGCGTAGGCAAAGTAACCAGTTGTGTCAGACCATGTGCCAAGGCAAAATCATGAACAGATCTCCCCTCATCGGTTAAACGGTTCAGTGCTGATGGCACGCCAGGCGTGCCATCGATTACTTTTGCGTGTGGCGTATGACACACGAGTCGTGTCTTTTTAAAAATCGTTATAACTCGCTCAAATTGCGTTTTTGGAACATTTATCTAGAACAAAATATCCATTATTTTGCAAGTAGTTCATGCATGCGGCTTCGTTTCTGAAAGAGCAATGGCAGAAAAATAGTTGACAAAAATTATAGCGTCTAGAAATAAGTTGTATATAAAATGAAAATGCAAATATATAATAGATATACAATAATCTAACAACTCTCAATTATGTATTATGTGTTCGCGCCAAATGCTGTTTTCGGAATCGACGTCAGAGGGCGCGCGGCTCGGTGCCATACCGGTTTGACTTTCGGTCGTGCGTCGAGCGCGCGCGAGTGCGAGTCAGTCATCTGCCAGCTATGCTAACGCTAGCACGCTGTCAATTTTGTTCGGGAACTGGGAATAATTAGGCGCGGCCAGTAAATATACTGCTTAGGATTTGCAACGCGCATTCCGTGCTGGAGATCTTTCCCGGGACTCATCGTGTCTGACTCAGGATCTGTATAAGTGCATTCGACAATATTAGCTAGTGCGGCCTTTGATATTCTAGAAATAACTGTTGCTACGCGAAGCGGTAGTGACCTTTGATCCGGACACTCCCTGTTCATTTTGTGTGTTAGGCTTTATAACAAACGAGAGTTAGTGGCTTCTGTAAGTTAGTTGGAATTAATGGACTGTCATCGTGACGAACGAAGAAAGTGACTGTGGACGGCGCCGCGGAAGACCTCAATTTGGAGCAGCCTGGAACTCGGCCGCTGCTGGTCGCCTATGCTTGCCAAGGCCCCACACATTCACACCTGACTGTACACTACTCGCCGTCCACTATTACACACACTCACGGCCTGCCCAAGCCTTGGTGCGAAGTTAGTAGTTAGTAGGTTCGGATAATGGTAAGTACTACGTGTTTCTAGCTTTCTCCCATATTGTTTATTGTAATTAGGAAATTCCACGTGGCCATATTCTGGCCCCGTCCCTCTGCTGCTCGTCGATGGGATTACTCATGGGCCCTAATCCCGTCATCTTGGTTGGGCCAGCTAGGGGCGTGTACAATTATGTATTAAGCTAACAAGAAACAACCACAGGAGGCATGACTTTTTTCAAGTGACATAGGACATAACCTAAAAAGTTCAAATGTAAATATCATTTTTTTGACGCCTTCCCAGTGCAAAATTCTTTGACAGAGTTATTAAGGGACTGAGGCTTAACATTTTAAGACATTTTTGGTATATAGACGCTACAATTTCTTCTCAACTAATTTTATGTATGAAAGTCTGCCATTGTTCTGAAATTTTTAGGGGTTGACTTTTTTATCTTGTACATGGTACTCTTTTTACTTTGTGGGTTTTCAATCATGTTGTGGAAAAATAGTCTAATAAGTAACAAATAATAGCACTCATTGCGATCGCTCACAAACTCTAGTTTTAAATAAATTTCTGGAAAACAAGTATTCTGTTAAAAAAAACAATGCGTTTGTCTTATTATTTAATTTTGCTTAAAATGGTTGAACTGCCGTCGTATTACTATCATATGGCCGAATAGACCTACGAAGTACCATGTGCTCTTGTGATATGGTATAAGGTTTATTTTTGCTTGAAACCGTTCATGCATAAAAAATTCGCTAATAAATAGTCTTTTGTCAATCTTTTTTTTTATATGATAGGGTGACAAACGAGCACACAGTCCACCTGATGGTAAGTGGTTGCTGCGGCCCATAGACATCTACATCTATCCTCTATTACAAATCAAAATGTAGATGCGTTGTCACCCGTGAGGACTAAGATGGAATGCCTCATTTCCAGTAAAAAGGGCCTCCGGCCACCTGCACTCACCAAGCGAAACGCAGAGGTAAACCTCTACTTCACGCTGGTTTTCTGTGAGGTCGTGGTACCACCCCGGTTCGAGCCGGCCCATCCGTGCGACAGCTAAAGCTGCCGCGTGGCTCTACCACTGTTAAAAATCTGCCGCCGTGTAGCGCCAGCGTTTGTTTTCTTTTAAAAACACTTGTTTTGCTATTCTTACTAATTAGACGTTTTCGAATCGACTTTACTTTTCCATTTGTATAACATTAAATAATATTTAACATTTGTAAATATTAATGAATCATAAACCTTATTTTTTTCCAAATTAAGGTTCTTGATTGTTTGATATTTACAAATATTATTATTAGGTGAAAATTTACTTTAATAAAAACCAAGGTTTTCCAGGGTGATTTAACTGTACCTACTTATATAAATAATTTTTTTATAAAACAATAAATAGTACAAAAGGTTTGTAATCTCTTCATAAAAAAAGTCACTTACTCTCAATTTCAAAGAAAACACGTAGTTACCCACTAAAAACAAGTATCCTTCCATTTGTAACTTATGTTTGATGTCAAATAAACTTAATTATCTCTAAACAAGTAAAAAAAAGCATAAAAAAGAACATTACTTTTACACATGGCTGATGGCACAATAGGCGTGTCATCAATGTATGTGGCGTGTCATGAAATATTTGTTCGCCGCCACAGCTAAAGTTGTCGAAAATCGGTGCCGCAACGAATCGGTTAAACGTGAACTGAGTCATTAGGCGTGGTGAGCGATACAATCGCCGAGAAGCACGATCTCTGCGGATGGGATCTGCTGTAGCAAAGAATCTGTAGCCATTTGGACGTGGTCGATGAGTCGGTCTGTTTCGGCATTACCTATGGGACCTATGGAGGCACCCGTAGATGCACGGACGGTCGTCACTGTCTACGCGTAGCCAAAGGATGGACAGGTCTGAACCTTCGAGACTGCAGAGGCGTCGAGATCAGATGTCCTCTCTAATGTATACGCAAACTCCAGCCCGAGGCACAAAGGAATGTTCCAATTTGTACCCCGGGCAGGAGATATACGAAGTATCAGTCGGAGAGGACACTTGCGTCTCGGTCAGAAAGAGCAAAGCCGGCTTCGCCGTCTCGAGACGGTAGTGGACGGCGTTTAGGTTCGAGTGATACCCCCAATACGTGGGACAGCCTGAGCACCCACGCTCAGCGAGGGAGTAGTTTAGCCGTGGATCGAGGGATTCTCCATTACCAGGGGTGCTGGTACCCTTCTGGGGTAGTATTACATTTAATTCCGCTACCATGTTGATAAGGGAGGGGGCCTCCGGCCACCTGAACTCACCAGACGAGACGCAGAAGCAGAGCTAATATTTTTTATTTTCGTTTTATAAATATCAATAGTAGTGGAAGTTGCTGCCATTGTTAACACCACACAATAATACACATTCACTCTGTGAAATTACTATTAGACTTGAATTCCTCCTACGCTGACGTCGGTCGCGCGTAGCTCTATCAATGAAAACCTATTAACGGCTACAGTGCAGCACTGATGAAGTACTACGCGTACGGCTACGTCGCGCGTACGAGGACCGTCGGTCCGACGTACGTCGGTTGACTGACGCACTATGGCGGTACATACGTGCATTCAGTGCGATGCTGACAGAGCGACCGACCATACGCGCGTACGCATTATCGCGAACAAAAATGAACATTGATACATGAACATTGTTCTCGCAATTTCGAATATAATGAACAAAATTCTCCTTCAATTAAATGGGATACAATTATTGGGTGCATATGATATCTTCTCAGTCTTTTATGCCGTAATCGTTTGCGTAAATAGTACGCACATATTATAGAGTTAACAAAAACAAAGCTTACCGTCAGTTAAGCACTAAACGCTCGGCCTCGACCGACGATCAGAGAAATTCAGGCCTTATTCTGCGGCATGGCGAGTACGCAAAAATCTTCCCTATCAAAAAGCATATTTTTAAATTATAATGGGTAAATAATTCCTGTAAAGAATTATTAAAAACCATTCAATAATATTTTTTATTTTTACATATTTAAACTTATTGAGCTTAAGGTTTGAACGAAAAAAAAAAAACATTTAAAAAACAAATGATTCTTGACACTTCTTATAACTAACTCTTAGCAGAATAAATGCAACCTATGTAATAGTTCTATACATTTGAGGAAATTAACGATACAGACTAGTATAAAAAACAGTTTTTGCTCTCTATGACAAAATATGAACTCTATCAAAAACATATAATATTATACGATAGAGAAATAATCGATATATTTATTATAGCCGTCTTGAAATTGTTCTATGTAAAATAACACTGTATTTGCAATTTATTTTAATGTTTTTCTTAGTACCTATAGGTTCCTTTTTGTATTTTATAGACAACAATTAATATGTCAATGGATGCATCGTATTATGATTAATTAAATGCAATAAAAAGGGATAGCATAAAAGTAAAGATACATAAAGGTTTCTCTAGTTCAGTTCCAATTTTAAATGGAAAGAACTACCAGTCTTAAGTATTGCAATTCAGAAGCATATTAACTATGACAAAAACCTCGTTGGTCACCAAATCCGTCAGGTTCCTGAACCACGCACTTTGGACTTGCAATATTTTAAATATTATAAATTATATGTTTACAGAAAAAAAGAGAACAGCTGTATAAGGAATCGCCGAGCAAATCTTCACTGGAAACAATCACAAAATATTTTAAGTTTTGGTAGGGTAGAGTATTTACTACTTCGGTGGGAATATCTGTGCAACCATTACCGGCGTTAGAGTATGTATAAGTATTGGCAACTTATACAAGGAAAGCAAATTAGATGGTAAAAGCCTAAAACCAGACTAAATAATTAAAAATTAAAAATTTTGCACAACCAACTTCAATATAAATTATTAAGAATAACTCAAAAACTATTGGTCAGACCTTGATCAAATTTATATGGGACCACATGAGAAGCACCAGCTTTCAAATAAAAAAATAAATAATCATTGCAATTGGTCCACCCCAGAAAATGTTATGAGGTAACACACAAAAAAAGATGCAGTCGAATTGAGTACCTCATGAGTACGATCTACAGTGGTCGTAATGCAATATGTAATGTACCATGTTATTTAACGGGTTATAATAATGGATAATGGATAAGTTGCGTAGTTGCTTGGAAAGGTAGCGGGCACCTGGTGGAAGAGAACAGAACAAAACCGATGAGCATGGCGTTTATTAGAGACGGTCTTCGTCCATCGGTGGATCGAATAGGCTAAAAAGAAGAAACGAACATAAACAATTATACTATCCCTTTTTATGATCTTAGAGCTGGAATTGATGCGAGTCTTTTAATCACTCCAAAAGCCTTTTACATACTGATTATAAGCATAACTAAAACATAAGATAATTAAAATTAAAAGTAAGTAAAAAAAAACTTGCTTAAAGCAGTAAAATTTGTGGATCATCAGCATTAAATAATCAAGGTCTAAAAGTACAACGTTCAACTATATTTAGTCTTATCAAATTAAAATAGAGGTTTTTGTGAAGTATTAATAAAGTAATACTGAAGTAGACTTATAAAAGTCTCGAATTATAGTGTTCAAATATAAAGGCTGCTGAGGAGTCGTCTACAACTAAAAAAAAACCTACTTAACTTTTCATCTCTTTCTTAAACACTGGCAACAATCAATTCTTTTTTAGTTTAAAAAGAAATTCAAACATAACATTTATTAGCATATTTAAATCTTACCGTTATAATATACTGTTTTAACAATTATATGTGCTGATTATTTACATTTGTACAGACATTATAAAAATATTCACTTCTCTATCTGCTTATCACCGCAACTTATTAACTACTATTTGTAATAAAAATATGTTTTTTTTTTTCTGAGAAAAACATTATTTTATTGCCATTATAAACAAGATCTTAACGGTTCGGCGTCCATTATAAAAAAAAATATTAACTTTTATTAAATATAAGCAACGCTATGAGTATGTCTGTTATTCACGTTAACCTGTATAATATTAACATTAGGACACTTCGTCGTTATCATTTTAAAACTAAAATATGTGGGTAGGCACAGATATTTCCTTACAATTGCTTTTTTTAATAAAATTGTTTTTTTTTTTAATGAAATTGAAATAAGAGAAAACATTGTCAAATATTAAATATTGGTCAAAATCTCTTGAAAACTAAATATACTAATTATACGAATTTGACAATCATTCTCATATCTACACTTATAACAAAACTTGTTCAGCATATTTTCTCTAAATCAGCAATGTGGTTCTAATTACAAATATAGTATCTTATTTCCATAAGTTTAGAAGGAACAATCAAGCAACTTTTATAATAGAAAAATTATAACGTAAATGTGTAGTTATTCCCACAGTACGGGTCGTAAATATAACAAAACTTAAGATGCAGTAATATGTTAACATATATTACGTACATTAGCTTAGAAAAAGCATATCTTTTTCTTGTACTACAAAGATTTAAAAAAGTTACTGTAAAAAAATTGAAAATATCAAGCAACTTGTCCACACTGTCAGCACCCCGGATGCATAAGAGATTTAAGCCATCTCGTACCGTAGTTTTTGTAAGGCGATTATGAGAATTGGCGGGAGATTTTTATGCCGTACGGTAGATGGCGACAGCGGCTCGTACGTTGACTGGTGAAAAAGCAAATCTTATATCAAGTTACAATTTTTTTGGTTTAATCTCTTACAATACTAGTTATGATTGATTTTTATCCGAAAACTATGATGTTTTTACTTTTTCTTTTTGTAAGTACGTAGATTATATTTCTCAACATTAACAACACCCCATTAAATGTGGCTTTGAGTCTATAAAAATGTGTAACTAACTTATATCATATTCATAATATTTTTACGTATCAATCGCCAAGCATACTAACTTTCGGCTTATTACAGGAAATCGGGTCCAGATCTTCGTGGATATTTCTGAAACAAATGGTAATTTTTGTAGTATCACACTTAAAAAAGTATACTTAAATACTTACCTTTCGTACGTACCTACTATGTTGTTTTAAAATAAATGGGGGAAAGGTGCCTGCCCAATAGATAAACATGAAACAAACGACGAGTTTCTACCAAATATAACAACATTAATTTAAATACAAAAGTGAAGTACAAAAGTAGTTGTAAAAATTAACCGATAGTCAATTTGAATTAGGAGATACAAAAGACGAGATCATTTAAATCAAAATAAATCAAGAAAGAATTAAGGGTACATTAAATAAAGAAATGATTGAACGCAATCCACATTTATGACCAGACAAGAGAGATAAGTGACAAGAGAAATCGATTCGGACGACACATAAAAGAATTGATATTACTCACAAAATGAAGCAAGATATGCATAAATTATCTGCGGCATTTTTGATTATAGGATCACTTTTGTTTTTCAAATAAAAGAGACTGATCTCTTTATTATATTTGAACAGATTTTATCAAAGTATAACTAACCATACATGTATTTCGACAAGGCATACTTTGCAAAAAAAAAACACTTACTTATTTGTTAAAAAATCAAATGTGAGACACACAAATATAATAACTGTTAATTGTCCTTTTGTAATGACTGACGTTCAATGAAAATAACAAGTTGCATGATGCCATTTGGTGTACGTAACGCTTTAACACATATCTAACAAAAACTAAAAATAACAAAATTAAAATTTTAAACTTCATTCTTTTAAATATCGATTTTCAATACTGATATAATCACTAAATTGTTTATTAATATTAATTTAATATTTATTTTCGACCTTCAGAATTGCTAAAATTCCTTATCCTTGTAAAAATCATCGTGTCTCAAATATTTAGAGACTTATTTGTCGTAATAAATACAAAGGCTAAAATTAGCCCAAAATGATAACAGAAAATATTGAAAAGCGTGAACGAAAATCATCATCCAAATAACTACTAAAATGCTATTTTTCAGCCTCAATAACTTACGAACACTATATTTTTACTTAACATTTAGACACAACAGGGTAGTTCTATATATTCTTGCAATATTGACGATACCTCCACACGATCACTTTTGAACAATCTAATAACTAGACCTTCAAATCACCATTATGATCTACAAAAACACACAACAACACAACTATATCACTAACGACACGACATAAACAATATGCGAATTGCTTTTCTTTCAATAGGAAACGAATGACTAGATTACAGATATTTTTAAAATAACTCAACTTTATCTTTAAAAAAAAAACAAAATAGTAAAGAGTTAACAAGGAACAAACAATGCTTGCTGTACTTTACAAAGTCAGTAATTCATTCATGGGGCAAGTTATCTGAAAACCTAAACATGTTAAATAACACATACAAGGGAATACCAAATTCCACAAACAACCAACTGTATCGAATGGATTATTAAAAATTCAGAAATATGCCCAGGGCATACAATATTTCTGAAATAATTGTAAATTGTCATATTAAAAAACCACAGACATATTTTTTAACTCTATGGTAAACAAAAAAATACTCTTAATATAAAGAGTATGTACGAAATATAAGAATATTTTGTATTTATAATAAATATTTATATTAAACTGAAAAAAATCAGTTTCCTTTAATTACTTAAAACCCTTTGAGATTTCTTTCTTTAGCAACATATCCACTATTGGATATAATTTTGTATTCAGAATGTTCTGAATGGCATGCATAAATTCAAAAATTTACTTGTCACTTCAAAATCAAATGCTGACGATGAATCGATCAATTTCCACGTCGAGAAATTGATATTTTGAGACCAAAGATATAATGCAAAAAATCAAAGCCAGAGATCAACCTTTTTGTTATTGATTTAGTATTTAAAATCAAATGCTGATGTTGAATAGATCCATTTCCACATGGACCAATTTATATTTTGCGACCAAAGATATAATGCAAAAAGATCAAAGCCAGAGATCAACTTTTTTGTTATTGGTTTACTATTCACATCAAAATCAAATGCTGACGATGAATAGATCCATTTCCACATGGACCAATTTATATTTTGCGACCAAAGATATAATGCAAAAAGATCAAAGCCAGAGATCAACTTTTTTGTTATTGGTTTACTATTCACATCAAAATCAAATGCTGACGATGAATAGATCCATTTCCACATGGACCAATTTATATTTTGCGATCAAAGATATAATGCAAAAAGATCAAAGCCAGAGATCAACTTTTTTGTTATTGGTTTACTATTCACTTTAAAATCAAATGCTGACGATGAATAGATCATTTCCACATGGACCAATTTATATTTTGCGATCAAAGATATAATGCAAAAAGATCAAAGCCAGAGATCAACTTTTTGGTTATTGGTTTACTATTCACTTTAAAATCAAATTCTGACGTTGAATAGATCAATTTCCACATGGACAAATTTATATTTTGCGACCAAAGATATAATACAAAAAGATCAAAGCCGGAGATTCACCTTTTTGTTATTGGTTTACTATTCACTTTAAAATCAAATGCTGACGTTTAATAGATCAATTTCCATATGGACAAATTGATATGTTGCGACCAAATATATAATGCAAAAAGATCAAAGCCAGAGATCAACCTTTTTGTTACTGACTTACTATTTAAAATCAAATTCTGACGTTGAATAGATCAATTTCCACATGGACAAATTTATATTTTGCGACCAAAGATATAATGCAAAAAAATCAAAGCGGGAGATTCACCTTTTTGTTATTGGTTTACTATTCACTTTAAAATCAAATGCTGCCGATGAATACATCCATTTCCACATGGACCAATTTATATTTTGCGATCAAAGATATAATGCAAAAAGATCAAAGTCAGAGATCAACTTTTTTGTTATTGGTTTACTATTCACTTTAAAATCAAATGCTGACGTTTAATAGATCAATTTCCACATGAACAAATTGATGTTTTGCAACCAAAGATATAATGCAAAAAGATCAAAGGATATCAACCTTTTTGTTATAGATTTTTTATACACATTATAATCAAACTCCGACGATGAATAGATCAATTTCCACGTCGAGAAATTGATATTTTGAGACCAAAGATATAATTCAAAAAAATCAAAGCCAGAAAGCATCTTTTTTGTTATTGATTTACTATTTAAAATCAAATGCTGACGTTGAATAGATCAATTTCCACATGGACAAAGTGATATTTTGCGACCAAAGATATAATGCAAAAAGATCAAAGCTAGAGATCAACGTTTTTGTTATTGGTTTACTATCCACTTTAAAATCAAATGCTGACGATGAATAGATCCATTTCCACATGGACCAATTTATATTTTGCGACAAAAGATATAATGCAAAAAGATCAAAGCCAGAGATCAACTTTTTTGTTATTGGTTTACTATTCACATCAAAATCAAATGCTGACGATGAATAGATCCATTTCCACATGGACCAATTTATATTTTGCGACAAAAGATATAATGCAAAAAGATCAAGGCCAGAGATCAACTTTTTGGTTATTGGTTTACTATTCACTTTAAAATCAAATGCTGACGTTCAATAGATCAATTTCCACATGGACAAATTGATATTTTGCGACCAAATACATATTGCAAAAAGATCAAAGCCAGAGATGAACCTTTTTGTTACTGACTTACTATTTAAATCAAAATTACTACTATTTAAATTTAACTATTTAAAAAAAATTTACTATTTAAATTTAAATCAAATTCTGACGTTGAATAGATCAATTTCCACATGGACAAATTTATATTTTGCGACCAAAGATATAATACAAAAAGATCAAAGCCGGAGATTCACCTTTTTGTTATTGGTTTACTATTCACTTTAAAATCAAATGCTGACGTTTAATAGATCAATTTCCACATGGACAAATTGATATGTTGCGACCAAATATATAATTCAAAAAGATCAAAGCCAGAGATCAACCTTTTTGTTACTGACTTACCATTTAAAATCAAATTCTGACGTTGAATAGATCAATTTCCACATGGACAAATTTATATTTTGCGACCAAATATATAAGGCATAAAGATCAAAGCTAGAGATCAACTTTTTTGTTATTGGTTTACTATTCACTGTAAAATCAAATGCTGACGATGAGTAGATCCATTTCCACATGGACCAATTTATATTTTGCGACAAAAGATATAATGCAAAAAGATTAAGGCCAGAGATCAACTTTTTGGTTATTGGTTTACTATTCACTTTAAAATCAAATGCTGACGTTCAATAGATCAATTTCCACATGGACAAATTGATATTTTGTGACCAAATATATAAGGCAAAAAGATCAAAGCCAGAGATGAACCTTTTTGTTACTGACTTACTATTTAAATCAAAATTACTACTATTTAAATTTCAATATTTAAAAAATTTACTACTTAAATTTAAATCAAATTCTGACGTTGAATAGATCAATTTCCACATGGACAAATTTATATTTTGCGACCAAAGATATAATACAAAAAGATAAAAGCCGGAGATTCACCTTTTTATTATTGGTTTACTATTCACTTTAAAATCAAATGCTGACGTTTAATAGATCAATTTCCATATGGACAAATTGATATTTTGCAACCAAATATATAATGCAAAAAGATCAAAGCCAGAGATCAACTTTTTGTTATTGGTTTACTATTCACTTTAAAATCAAATGCTGACGATGAATAGATCATTTCCACATGGACCAATTTATATTTTGCGATCAAAGATATAATGCAAAAAGATCAAAGCCAGAGATCAACTTTTTGGTTATTGGTTTACTATTCACTTTAAAATCAAATGCTGACGTTTAATAGATCAATTTCCACATGGACAAATTGATATTTTGCAACCAAAGATATAATGCAAAAAGATCAAAGGATATCAACCTTTTTGTTATAGATTTTTTATACACATTATAATCAAATTCCGACGATGAATAGATGAATTTCCACGTCGAGAAATTGATATTTTGAGACCAAAGAATAATTCAAAAAAATCAAAGCCAGAAAGCAACTTTTTTGTTATTGATTTACTATTTAAAATCAAATGCTGACGTTGAATAGATCAATTTCCGCATGGACAAAGTGATATTTTGCGAACAAAGATATAATGCAAAAATATCAAAACCTTTATTATATTGAACATGTGTCATTAGACGATTTGCTACAAGAGAATGATTAGCTTCAAGTAAAGATTAACAGGTCTTAGAAAAATGTGAGATAAATGAAAAAAAAAAAACTATACATTGCCCCCCAATGAAAATGAGTTATCTGTAAAAAGTCTAAGATTTTATTTGTAATAAAGTCCGCGACGTCTCGCCTTTAAAAGTAAAAATACTACATACAGTAGGACTGTTTCCGTAAGGAAACCGATGTTGGTCCAAGCGACGCTTAAATTTTGGTATGCCTTGTAGCCTCATCATCGTAGTCCCAGGAGTTGGCTTAGAAGTCGTCGTTATTTTATCAAATATCGTTCTATTATTCCACTTTTTATAGTGCTCTCCATTGTTTCTAAGTTCATTACCATGCGAAGAAATCGATACGTTTGGCGAAACATGTATTGGCCTCTTATTTTGTTCAAATGACCAAATTCGATTTGTATTTATCGTACGCGTTATTATAGGCTCCTTGTGGATTTTATTCTGTCAAAGAAGGTATATTAAATAAAATAAATGTACAAAGATAATTATCTCTAGTCGATTTCAACAAGGGCAAAAATCTCCGTGAGGCAATTGCACACATAAACACAGAAACACAAACAATTTTCACCTTATCCATATCTGATGATAAATTCAGTAATATGATTAAAGATAAACGTGGTGGTAGTATCAAAAATATGGTGGCAACTACAAAATATCCAAAGCTAAAAACCACTAATTCGTTTTTCTTTAGAAGGTATTGGCATCGTCTGGGTTCAAACGAAAGCGTCACATAAAACAAGCTGCCGAATACACTAAATATATACTAAAATATTTTCATTAAGTCCTCAAACAGAGTCGGAGTCAATTAAAAACTTCATCTATCTATTATTTTACTATTCAATATGTACCTAATATTATTATAAATGACAAATATAAATTATATATTAATTATTTAATAAATAGAAATATTTAAATATTAATTTTAAAACATGAGTCTTCGCCAGATTGCTACGAAGCACCCAGGTCTTCTGTACTTTTAATCAAATTATTGCATTCAAAGGATAGAAGAAGTATTCTTTTAAATTAAACAATGCACTGTCGTTCGATGGCTGCGTTAGAGAATTCATCATCACATGTCATCCCAAAGGTGACGTAAAAGGCAAAAATGGGAAAAGCGAAAAAAATCTCATGACCATTACGTAAAATTATGTAAAATAACCAAACAGGTAACTGAGAGTTGCCACAAACTCTAATGGGGAGGCCCACGTCCACCACACCGTAATAACTTTATTTATGTGTGACCTGTTACGGGTTCATAAATAAAAGAAAAAATTTTTGCTAATGCTTACTTACCAAGTTGTCCAAGTTAGTAGTATCCGGCGATAATCTTTTATCTATCTCCATATGTAATGTAGAATTCATTTTAGTTGGATATAAATTATAATTAATAAGCGGCGGAGTTGTTATGTTATCGTTTATCACAGATTCGTTCTCTGCAATTTGATCTTTAATTGTTAGCAATTTATCGTATAGATCTTCACTTTCAGTATATAGCTGATTTTCTAGATGACAAATCATTTTATTTTGGAATATTTCTGGTGATGTTCCCTTTAGAATGTTTAATAGAGCCAGCACCAAAGGTTTTTCAAATGGCAATATACAAACCCTTTCCAATAGTGATGTAGCAACATTTAAACTAAACTGCCTAGGGATTTTGTGAATTAAATTAGTTAAATTTATAAAAATAATTTTGAATCTAGAAAAGTTCTGAGTCTCAGCTAGCGTTTGCATGAAAATATCGCAAAGAATTTCTCCATTCTTAACGTTAAAAGTAAGCATATCGGCGACAATAGATATGTCGACTGTATTTAAATACAATAAAACTGTTTCAACAACCTCTACTTTTAATGTTTCATCTTCCTTTGAATTGGGATTAGCTTTTGATACAAAGTCAATTGCCATTTCAACAACAATTCTCGTTAGTTCTCTTCTTATTCCTTCCAAAACGAAAAGTATGCCATATTGTCTTCGTAGTATAGACCAATTCCGTAATAACATATATTCTTGGATGAACAATTCTTCACTTAGTCTTGTTAACCTAGATTTTATCTTATCATTATCAGGATAGGCATGTAAAAATCTACATCTGGATTTTTTGCAACTTTTTATAAGATTAAAAAAACATACACCCCCAAAAATAACACTTTTAACTCCCAGTATTGGTTTATAAATAGACGCCATTAGAACGCGGCACTGGTAAGGATTTATATTTTTAGTAATAGTATTGAAAGATGAATGAGATTTATTATTTTCTTCGTGAAATATTTGCAAATTGCTGGTATCACCTAAGTCCCCGTGAATTATATTATTTGTATCACTTTTAGAATTTCTGTATATTGACGTCGAATCGGCGTTTTGTTTTTCACAAACCATTACTGCTTTATTATTTTGTACCTCAACTTCTTCCTGACCTTGCTTGTTAATTTTTGTTGGGAAATAAGTCACTGTTTCAACAGGTTTATTTAAAATGGGCCTAACTGGTTGTGGTATATATTCATTTGATTCGTTGTTACTGAGAATCGATACAGATGCAATTGAATTGTTTTTCCTAGAAGATTCAATACCGGTTATACTCTCAGCAAACAAAGACAACGCATCATCGTCATCATTGCATCTATCATCAATTGAAATTTCTAAAGTATCTTCACTTTCCACTTCTTCATTCTGATCTCTTCTTTTGTCGTTGCTAGCACCTTTGATGCATGATAAATCATTGTTGTTATGAACAGTTTTATCACATTTTGTTTTATTTATACTATCAGGCTTAATAAAACCTTCATTATTGGCGCCTTTATCGGAATTTTCTTTATTTTCACAAACATAAGCCTCAGAAATTAAATTAGTATCGTCACCTAGCAGCACCCTCTTCATGTTTTGACAATGTACTATAACTTGACTCTCTTCTTTTAACAACCTATATATCTTGTCATGGAAATTTTGTGTAACTGGACTAACACTTTCATCTTCATAGCCTATCCAAGTCATAATTTCCAGATCGAATTTTTTCAAATTTGATGTAAGCTTATCTATTGCTTCACCAATTTTGTCAACATTTTCTTCTAATGCAGCACTTTTACCGCTACTATTACTGTCCGAGTCTGAGCTTGATGAAGACGAAGAAGACGAACTCAAAGACAAAGATCGGGACACTGATACGGCGGTGGGGGAAACGCTTCGCTCCTTTACTGAGCCTTTATTACATTCCTCATCAGCAGTTTCATTGTCTGTCAAAGATTCACCTTTCTCGTTAACACTATTACCCATTTCCAATTTATTTTTAATATGAGTAAGTTTGACTATAGGTAATTTGTTATCGAAACGTACAAAATCTTTTGAACACACTGTAACGCAAGTAGTAGTACTAGAACTTGAAATATCTTTAGTCCATGACAATTCAGATCCAGCAGAAGTTGTTCTTGTCTTTATTAATGCAGGATATATATCACTACCAGTTTCAATGTTAAGGGACTCTTTATGTTTGTCACTTTCTTTATTATCTTCGTTCAAAGTTGTTAAATTTTCATCATTTGCAGGTACAGTAGCACTAATCTTACCTTTTCTTATTCTCTTTCTTGGTTTATGCTCGACTTGTCCAAGTTTTACAGTATTTTGAGCAGTTCTCTTCCACGTTTTTGTATTTAACCCCCGTTTAGTTACGTAACTTCGATTTACTGATTCATCTTTTACGTTCTTATCTGAAAATTATTATATTCTATTTATTTAGAAAACTATTCAGACTACAAGTAGTATTATTAAATTAAATTGAATAAAAAATTGTAGAAACGCAATCATTACCTATTGTTACAGTATTTGTACATGCTGCATTTTTCCTTTGCAATCCTTTGGGCCCCTTGTCTTTCGGTTTTGTATCGGGAGTTTCTTCAAAAGCTGAACCTGTTTAAGAAATGAGGATCTTTTGATAACATAAGCGTACGTTAGTAGGGAAATAATATTAAGAAAGTTTTTTCAATACAGAATCAAAAGCATTAATACCAATTAAATAATACGAAATCCAATCCAATTTTGAGGCAATTAACGGGTTTAATTTATGCATTCATAATGTACAGCCAATTAAACAATGTGCAGTCCATTGCTTAACATTAACATCCCTCTAGATTATCTCATAGGAGGGTGTTTGCCATAGCTGCCACGCTTGGCAGGAGGTTTGGCAACCGCTCTTTTTTATTATTCAGTAGTTATCAAGAAGAGGCTGCTGCTTATCTCATTTTAGTTTCCCCAAGTCTCTTCTCACGACACTCACGAGATGATAACGGGTAAATGAGACAAAAATCGAACTAACAGAAGAAATGTTTGTAGAAGTGGTTCTACCACTCTTATTAATTGATGGAAATTGCTTCATTTGCTTAAAGATGGACACAATATATACAACATGCATACATTTGCATTTATAATCAAATGCAACATGCATTTATATGCATTGCACAACATGCATTTATATGCATTGCACAACATGCATTTATAATAAAATGCATGAACTTAATAAGTGAAACAGACAATAATAGCCTAAGTACATTATTATTTTTTTTAATTAATTACGACACAAAAAACTCTCCGACTTAAAAAGTTCGCGAAATGACAGGGAAGGATAACGAAATGAAACATTAAACTATTTTTCCTCTTCAATATATTCTCCCTTAACCCTAATACATTTATTAGATCTGTCAAATAACTTATTAATACCATCTAAAAAAAAAGATTTGTCTTGGGCGCCAAAATAGACCGAAATTACCGACTTCACATCATCATCGTCGCCAAATTTTTTCCCACGCAGTTTTTTCTTCATTTTTGGAAACAAATAATAGTCACTTGGGCCCAGGTCTGAGCTGTGGCGTAGTTGTTCAAAACCGCACCGGTGAATGGCAGCCCGTTGCAACATGGCTTGGGTGCACGGGCGTATTGTCGTGCAAAAGGAGCTCGCCTTTTATAAGCTTTCCTCGCCTTTTTTCTTTAATAGCTTCTTTTAACTGATCTAGTAAAGAAGCGTAGTATTCTCCGGTTATGGAAACACCACGTTCCTTACAGTCAGTCAAAAGGATATCTTCTGTATCCCAAAAGATCGTCGCCATGATCTTTCCGGTCGATTGAGACGCCTTATACTTCCTAGGAAGGTGTGCATTTTTTATGCCACAGCATCGACTTTGCTTTGACTCAGGTTCGTAATGGTGAACTCAAGTGTCATCGCCAGTTACCTTTAACTTTTTTTTAACTTCCACCCTTTACTCTCCACAGCGGTCCAAAAACTCGCGACAAGTTTCAACACGCTCGTGTTTTTGATGCGCAGAAAGCATTCTCGGAACCCACCTTGCACAGACTTTAGTCATGCCAAGGTGTTGATGTAGGATGTTTAAAATGGTTGTTTCTGATATTCCAACTAATGCTGCAAGCTGTTTTTTCTTTAGCCGGGCATCTTCCGATACAAATTTTTCAACTTTTTCGATTTCTGGCGCGGTAGCCTCAATCAGCCGTTCAGGTCGGGGGTAGTCTTCAATGGAGTCTTTCCCTTGTTTGAAAAGGGCGTGCCATTCATTATTCATCATCAATTCATGGTTTTCTTAGTAGCGGAGTCCCCATAGACAGCTGACATCTCTTGAAAAATGGTTTCAGGTGTCTTTCCTTGTTTGGTGAGAAACTTAATGGCGGTGTGATACGAGAGTGACCTTGTAAGTTCTTAGAATACCAAAAACTAAACAAACTAGCAAGTTATTAGTTTTATTATGTCTTTTCAAAATAGTGTCCATTTACATCAACACATCGCTGCATCCGATGGAAACACTGAGAAAAGCAATTTGCCCACTCGTCCTTAGGGGTCTCTTCGACGGCATTTTGAAACGCAGCCACTGCTTCCTCGGCATCCATAAAAAGTTTTCCTCGAAGTTTTTCTTTTATTTTCGGAAATAAATAGAAATCGCAAGGTGCGAGGTCGGGGCTAGAGCGCGGGTGACCCAGTAATTCCACGCCTGACGTCGCCAAGTAGTCGACTGTTTGCTTGGCGGTGTGCGACGAGGTGTTGTCGTGGTGAAGGAGGATCCTACTGCGAGGTCGTTTCTCCCGAACTTTTTCCAAAACAAGTGGCAAACAATTGTTAGTGTACCACTCTGCAGTAACTGTTTTTCGATCCTCTAAAACAATTGTTGAGTAATGACCTGTTCTTCTGAAGAACGAGGCCACCATCTTTTTTCCCACGCTTCGACCTCTCTTCATTTTAGTTGGCAACTCCTCGGAACGAAACACCCAGACAGCAGACTGTCTCTTAGTTCAGGAACAATAAATCCAGCTTTCGTCACCCGTAAGTATGTCGAACACAGCATTTGAGTCACCTCCGTTAAATCTTTGAACTATTTCACGACACCAATCAACACGACGGAGATTTTGGGCCCCTGTCAGATTATGAGGTATCCACCGGGCACAAAGCTTCCTGACCGCTAAATGTTCATAGAGGATTTTGTGCACTTGACTTATACCAATGCCTAAGCTTGTCCGAATCTGCTGATAAGTCACTCTTTTGTCAGTCTCTATCATACGCCGCATAACAGTGGTGTTATCTTCAGTCATCGCCGTAGAAGGCCGTCCTTCACGCAGATCATCGGTGAGATTAGTGCGACCTCGTTTAAACTCATTAAACCAGTTGTAAACAGTGGCACGAGATGGGGCTTCATCGTGAAAGGTCGATCGAAGAGTATCATAACTTTCTTGTTGACTTACGGGCGATCTCAATAACCTATCTACCTCATACTGGAAGTTAAAATGTCTACCATTGGTATCAATAGTTACATCTTTCCGTTTCAATAATCAAAGATATATTTAACCATCACATTGATCTACCGTTCGGAGGACTTACCGACTACCTGAGTTAAGTGGGTTCATAGAGAAAAAAACGGCTGACTGTTTCAACAACGTTTTGGCAGTTAACTGGCGATAGTTGAAATTACCAGATGTCAGAGTTTTGTCTATCGCAAAATTTTGAGAGTTTAGCAAATATTTATCGTGTTTTTAAATAAATAAAACTTAATATCTAAAAAATGGATTTGTTCAGTGATGAAAGTGATTATGAAATGTTTGAGATCGGTGTAAAGTATTTCTTCCATTATTAGTACTCGTAGATGACGTTGGTAAGTGGAGTAATGCATTCGTTCGAAGGTTTATTCTCAGTGATATTTGAGATTTTTAATAAAAATACAATGTCAGCAATCTTTCGACGCTTTATCAGGGGTAACAGACGATTCTGCTTGCATAAGAATAGATAGTCTTTTTTTTTATAGGATAGGGTGACAAACGAGCACACAGTCCACCGGATGGTAAGTGGTTACTGTGACCCATAGACATCTACATCTATCCTCAAAAAAGACTCAAGATGCAGATGCGTTGCCACCCGTGAGGACTAAGATGGAATGCCTCTTTTCCAGTAAAAAGGGTCTCCGGTTCTCTACACTCACCATACGAAACACAGCAGCGTGAAGCTGCTATTTTACGCTGGTTTTCTGTGAGAGCGTGGTCCTTCCCCGGTCGAGCCGACCCATTCGTGCTACAACTATACTACTAATATAGCTGCAACATGGCTCTACCACGCACACGTAGTCTTCTGATCGGTAGATTATATGGGTACGATGGCAAAGATATCGTATGAATTTGCGTTGGATGCTTTCAATCCGTGAAATGTATGTTATTATATATCGGATTCCAGATCTGCGAAGCATATTTAAGCGTAATATAAGTCTCATTAAAACGTAAGTATAGTACAAGATTTTAATAGTTTTAATGTTTAAAAAAATACACATGATAAAGCCTAACGTCTTGGATGCCCTAGCTCTGACACTGTCAACATCGGTATTGAATAATAAGTTAAAGAGTCGCGGAAAATCCCTAGATCACGTACAACAGATTCATTTTGTAACTTCTGGCATAGAAGGTGATACGAGGTGCACACTGAAATGATCGGAAATAAGAAAAACCACATGCACGGTATAGGTAAATTGTATTTTATTGTTTTTCGAAGTATTCTCCGTTCAACTTAATGCACTTTTCCATTCGTGCGAACCAATCATTAAAACAGTAATTCCAGTTAGAAGTTGATGTTGACAAAATGCTTCGGGGTCTTCAAACCGTTGACCGCGTAATAAATCTCTCATTCTAGGGAATGTAAAGAAATCGTTTGGGCTCAGGTCAGGACTGTAAGGGGGAGGTAAACACAACTAATAAATTTTTCAATATCCATAGTCGTCGTAGAAATCCCAACAAGTTCGGACTCAACGGTTGATCGGCCGATTTCGTGCGTCATCGGACGATGACGGTCGTGTTTATGTACGCACTCTCTTTCTTTTACAAGTGTTTGATTCGATCGTCCGAGTTCGGCTGTCATCGCCCGAGTAAACTTCGGCCGTTGACGGATTAGGTGTACTAAAGGGCCGATCAACCGTTGAGTCCGAACTTATTGGGATTTCTCGCCAGATTGCCGGCGTCTACAGTGCAAATTAAGTGTATTTATAGTTTAATTTAATCATTTTGTCTTTATTCTGTTGTTTTTGTCAGTGTTGTTATCTACCTAAACGACTATGGATATACAATTATAATAATCGAGAGGTTTCGAAACGGTTATGGGCTGAAGTTGGATCGGAAATGGATAGTGGTTCCAGATATTTAAAAAATGCGTCTTCACTCTGTTAAGCAACACAGTCAACTACAGAATACCGGTAATTTTCAATGTCGGCACACGTGTTGTTGCAGTCAGTAATGAAAGAAGCATAATATATGTGAAGGTATATGAATGTAATGGGGGCGAGAGAGGTGTGTCAAGATTGTGCCAAATGGAAGTCCTACCTACACAGGTAACAGGCGTGAATGTTTGTGACTTATGCGTCCCTAGGTTATATATGTGTGACGCCTCGTCCAACTGCCATTCTCTCAACCTATTCACTCCCACCATTAATGAATAAAAGGAAAAAGAAGAGTAAGTTTGTACAGCGGTTGCACTCCCTCTCCATTAAAGTGCACCTCACAAAAATTCGAGGCCTGCACTGTAATCTCAATGCAGTCCATTACCGCCTTGAGACTGACAAGCCGCACTTACTCTTCTTGACTGAGACGCAGATCAGATGTCCTCTAGATGCGGCGTACCTTGGCTACCCTGGGTACACATTGGAGCATAATTTCCATCAGCGCGCCGGAGTCTGTGTTTACGTCCGCAACGACATTTGCTGTAAGCGTCTCCGTCACCTTGAAGACCCCACTTTCTCTACGATCTGGGTATTGATAGACACAGGAATGGATAAAATTATTTATTCTTGTGGCTACCGATCGCACAGCGGCGACCAGGAGACAACTAGGCTGTTTGAACACCTCAGTGAAGCCTTTGATGTGGCTCTAAAACGGTACCCTAATGCACAGTTGGTTTTTCTGGGGGACTTTAATGCCTGTCATCAGGACTGGCTGTTCCCATACCAGAAGACCGACCACGCTGGGAGTGAGGCGTGGAATTTTGCCTTGTCGCTGGGGCTCTCCCAGCTGGTACAACAAGCGACTAGGGTACCTGATGTGGATGGGCACACAGCCAACTGTCTCGACCTTCTGCTAACGACCGATCCAGACAGGTACGATGTTCAGATTACCTCACCCTTGGGAACTTCTAGACTACTGTCTGGTGAAATCTGTGTCGTTATATTCCCCACCTAACTACGATTTCCACGGACGAATGTGGCGATACAATTCAGCAGATTGGGATGAGATGCGGCATTTCTTTGCATCTTATCCTTGGCGGCAGGTCTGCTTCTCCTCTGAAGACCCATCGAGCTGCGCGGATGCCATAACCAATGTGATACGTCAAGCGATGGGAGTATTTCATCCCCTTTGCTGACGTGCCCATTGGTGGTAAAGCTCGCCCTTGGTTTAACGCCGAGTGCGCTCGTGCTGAAAAGCACAAGCATATGGCGTACTTATCCTGGGTCGATGCTCGAGACCGTAAAGCTCCGGATGTTAGCCTTAAGAGGAGAGCCTTTAACTAAGCCGCCAAATCGTGCAAAAAGGCATTACACCAAGCCAGTTTCGACCGCATTAAACGCATCGGCACAAAGCTCTCTGTCAAACCATCTGGCAGTAGAACTTTTTGGTCTCTCGCCAAAGCGGTCGAGACAAACTTCTGTCGGTCTACACTGCCTCCGCTAGTAAAACCAGATAGCTCACTGGCGCATGCGCCTAAGGAGAAAGCGGACTTATTTGCTTGTCTTTTTGCTTGCAATTCGCGTCTGGACAGTAGCAACAGCGTACCATCTCAATTACCTCACTGCGGTACCTCTATGTCTGACGCCCGTATCAACAACAAGGAGGTTCTTAAAACCTTGCGAAGTCTAGACGTGAACAAAGCTAGTGGACCTGATGGTATACCAGCTATAGTTCTAAAGGTCTGTGCACCTGAGTTGTCTCCTGTGTTGACACGCTTGTTCCGCCTCTCATTCAGGACTGGAATAGTGCCTAAATCTTGGAAGCTGGCCAATGTGCAGCCTGTGCCTAAAAAAGGTAGTCGTACCGACCCTGCCAACTATCGGCTACTTTCAATTACCTCCATACTCTGTAAGATTATGGAGCGTATATTGAACGCCCACCTCATGGCATACCTAGAGCAAAATGATCTTCTCAGTGATCGCCAGTACGGGTTTCGCCGAAATCGATCAACTGGGGACCTTCTAGCGTATGCCACTCACATATGGGACGAAGCCCTTGAGAACAGTGGTGAAGCACTTGCTGTTTCCCTCGATATTTCGAAGGCTTTTGACAGGGTTTGGCACGCTAGTCTATTGGGCAAGATTTCAGCGTACGGCTTATTCTCTGGCCTAATTGTCTGGGTGAAGGACTTTCTGAGTGAACGGTCTCTCCGGGTCGTCGTTGATGGCTGCTCATCCGATACTGTGGCGACTAACGCCGGTGTTCCTCAGATGTCCGTTCTCTCCGCAACTCTCCTCCTGCTGCATATAAATGATCTGCTCATTCCCGGTGTCTATGGGTATGCAGACGACAGCACAGTTGTGGAGAGATACCAACCAAGCGCCCGGACCAGTCGGGATCAAATCCAGTAAGAAAGAGAGGCTATGGTTCAGCAGGTGAGTCTCACACTACAGGCAATCTCCGAATGGGGCGATGCCAATCTCGTCAGATTTAACGCCTCCAAAACACAAGCGTGTCTTTTTACCGCTAAAAGGAGCCCGCTCACCTTGGCTCCTACTTTCCGGAATGTATCCTTGGAGTACACTGACCGCCTTCAGTTGTTAGGGATTGAATTTTCTCCGAACCTAAACTATGGGCGGTTCATTGAGTCCAGAGCCAAAGTAGCCGCAAGGAAACTTGGTGTCCTTACAAGGGTGCGGCGGTACTTCACGCCGGGGCAGCTTCTTACCTTATATAAAGCGCAAGTCCGGTCGTGCATGGAGTACTACTGTCACATATGGGCTGGTGCTGCAAAATGCTACCTGGCAGCTTTGGACTCAGTGGAGAGACGTGCTAAGAGGCTCATTGGTGACCTTGATTTGGTTGAAACCAATTTTGTCAGCCTCGAGCACAGGCGCAGAGTAGCCAGTCTCTCGGTATTCTATAGGATGCATTTCGGTGAGTGTGACCAGGAATTACACGCCTTAATTCCTCCCTCTCCTTTCCACCATCGGACAACCAGACGGTCGGCGGGTCTTCATCCCTTTGTTGTCGATATTCCACGCATTAAAACCAAACGGTTTGCTTCGTCATTTGTAATGCGTACAGCAAAGGAGTGAAATAATTTGCCAGCGTCTATCTTTCTGTCCGAATACTATCTAGGCGTCTTCAAGGCAAGAGTGAATAGGCTTTTGTTACGATAAGTGGTACGGCCCACAGGTGCCCCTACAAAGGTCAAATATTTCGGGGCCCATCAGCGGAAGATTCGACGGCTAGCCGAGGGTTCGGGCCCAAATGGCGATATGGAGAAATGTCCTATCATACTACACTATAGGCAGAAAGCTAGGAAAATAAATAGTACGTATCTGGATCCGAATCTAAGACCGCCCCAAGGCTCGGTCAGGCCGTAGGTAGAGTAGATGCATGTAAAGTAGTGTTTAGTGGTGTGTATGTGTGGGTGACCTGGCCCAGCTGAGGTGACCTGGAAGCGGCTGGTTTCCATGCTGCCCCACAATGCTGCATCACTCCAGCAGGCATCCACAATGGACCATTTCTTTCTTCATTTCACTATTTCAGTCTATCCACTTTATTGTACATTTAACTAACTTCAACTCAACTAATTCAACGTTCATCGTAGAATCGAACACGTGATACCCGAAATAAGTAACGAACAGTAGTTCAAAGTTCCACATTCAATGTCCCGGATTCATTTATCACCAAATTACAAATAGGGAACTAACGCGATCTCTTCATGAGTCACACGGTTCAGCGTTACAAACACAACTAAGCTCCTTTGTTCGATATTAAATAATACGCCGCACTAAGAATTCAAAACCAACCTAGCTGACACGCAAACTAGCTACAGAGTCAACACACAAAAGGCTCTTAACGCGACGGTATAATTAAACAATGATTCCCAAAACAATCAATCGGGCGACGCTTCGAAAAGGAATGCGCGGTTCAATTCCAGACCGTATTTCTACTCGGAGCGCGCGCGAAATTTCACGTCACACGAGCAAGTTAAATATTGTAAAATCACTTCAACACGCAATCACTATATAATTGGAGCAATTACTTTCAAACGAAATTACTTTAATCAGTCAAATACAATACAAGCCTCTTGTCACGAACATAAAACCTAAACAACCTATATAAAAGCATGTATGTATTATTTAATTTCTAAAGCTTGATTAATGTATTCATAATTGATTGCGTAAGTATAAATCACCAGGAAGTTAAAAGATAAACAACTGAACAACAAGACATTAAGAAAATATATATTATACTAGCTGGCCAGGCAGACGTTGTTCTGCCCTTTCCGACGACCCTCCCTATAAAAAATCCTTAAATTCGCAATAAAAAAATATTGAAGGTCACTTATAGGGATAAAAAGTATCCTATCTCTCAAGTTGGACCAAACTGCACAATGTGCAAATTTCATTGAAATCAGTTCTGTAGTTTTGGAGTTCATCGCGGACAAACACCGTGACACGTAATTTTTATATATAAAGATTAATATGTTAGATAGTAAGCGAATTCGCTTTTGCAAGATATTTTATTAACAATATGTATAAAAACACATACCATCTGAATCGATTGCAGATATTATAATGACAGGTTTTGCTTCCTTTACATCACACGTTTCTTTATTCAGGAGTTTCTTACGTCCAGGTTTCCGTTTTACCATTGGTTCCAAAGGCTTATCGGGAATTATTGTGTTTTTTGCAAAATGAGCTTGAACAATTAAAATTAAAATTTGATTCTTATTAAAACAAAATAACGAAAGCAAAAAAATGGAAGATCAGGTCAATTCAACGTTAATTATCTCTTAATATAAAAATATATAATATCAAGCCGACGGAAATATCTATAAATTTCGCTTGAATGTGGGATGTCCCCATGCTGCACTTTACTTCGTCTTATGTTTGTCTACTCTCTCCGGAGTCTATTTGCATGATCATCATTTGACAGGTCCACACATATTCCCCATGATATACATCCCCATCATATACATATGATAACCAAATCAAAGCATGAAGATGAAGATTGTAAAATCTTGATTAATGTGTATAAAATTTAAGCTTAAGTATAATTTACGAGGATGGTTAAAGATAAACAACTAAACAAAAAGACATTAAGAAAATATATATTATATTATTAATATGTTAAATAGTAAGCAAATTCGCTTTTGCAATATATTAGCAATATATAAAAACACATACATACCATCCGATTCGATTGCAGATGCAATGACAGGTTTTGCTTCCTTTACATCACACGTTTCTTTATTCAAGAGTTTCTTACGTCCAGGTTTTCGTTTCACTATTGGTTCCACGGGCTTCTCAGGAATTATTGGTATTTTTGAAAAATGAGCTTGAACAACTAAAATTAAAAGTTGATACTTATTAAAACAAAATGACTAAAGCAAGAAAATAGAAGATTTTCTCAATTTAATGTTAAATATCCCTTAATATAAAATATATATAATATAAACCCGACGGAAATATCTATAATTTTCACTTGAATGCAGGTTGTCACCATGCCAAAAATAAAAATTTACTTCGCCTCGATATTTGTCTATTCCCTCCAGAGTCTATTTGCATAATCATCATTTAACAGGTCGACACATATTCCCCATGGGTTGTATACACATACACATATGAGAACAAAAAAAATCAAAGCATGAAGAACAACCTGATCACAGAAAGTTATCACAGCATGCAAATATTTCATTACATAAATGTGGTGGCAGTATAAACATGTATTCCTATCCAATCTCACCGAGCATACCAATTTTAAAGACAAAATCGCATAAAACATCAACAACATTTTCATTTGTGTAATTTTTTTTTTTGATATTATACTTCTTTCTTATTTTTCTATATAGGGTAAGTAAATTCACTGTGACTCAAATAATAGGCTTTGTAAGTTAGCCCAAGGAAATGCCTAGACAAATACCTTGTACATATCATGCCTATAATACTCAGACACAGTATATGCAACAGTGACAAACTTTAATTTCAAAAATATTTTGTTTAGTAGTTAAGGCTTACTAAGACTTCTAATAAAGTCACGTGTGTAATCCTGAGTGGGTAATCTTAAGAGCAACAAGCTACTCGGATCACATTTAGATAAAAAGTGATAAAATTAAAAATTTTGTACAAGCAACTTCAATATAAATAAAATGAGAATGTCATCAATTTATTAAAAGTCAATTAAATACTCATTATTAAGGATAACTCAAAAACTACTGGTCAGATCTTAATCAGATTTATATGGGACCACATGAGAAGCACCAGCTTTCAAAAAAAGAATCATCAAAATCGGTTCACCTAGAAAAAAGTTCTGAGGTAAAACACATAAAAAAGAAAAAAATACAGTCAAATTGAAAACCTCCTCCTTTTTTGAAGTCATTTTAAAAGTATGGGTATAGATGGAAACATGATAGATGCTGTGAAAGAATGACTATGCAAGTAACACAATTGGCACAACTCTTTTGTTTGTTATAAAACATAAACATATCTTCACTTCAAGCTTTTTACATTTTTATTTATCATCCTCTTTTAAGCTTGTCATAGGCCTTTCCAAGATAAGACCAAGTGGCATGCACATCTTAGGAAAAATTACAGAAGTGCAGAGCTACTACCCTCATACTAATTTACAATCTACAAATTTTGGGCCTAGCAGCCTCTCTAAATAGACATTCCATCTCTACATAATATAAAACAAAGTCACTTCCTACCATCTGTACACTTACGGTTCTATCAGACAGAAACATTGGGTGCGCCCAGTAAATAAGAATAGAGAATGGCTTAATAATAAAGAAATTTTTTATAATTCATTTTCGGTCCCCATTTCTCTGGCAAATTCTAACCATGCCTCTGCTACTTTTCCTCAGTTTTTATAATCATCATTCTTCACATCATATAAAAAACACCTTTTTCGTACTAACATATTCAACTTCTCAGTCTCCATCTTTCTTCCGATGTGGACACCAAAACACACGTTCACTGAACTCGTGAACGCGTGCGTTCTGGTTGACCAACGCAGTCAGAATGCTGGCTGTCTGGGGTCTGGGTATGTTTATGTAACGTAATACAACACAAGGAATGCAGAATGTGAACATGTGAACACCTTCCGTCTGAACCCTTAGATTTTTTAAACTATCTGGATTTTGATGCGGTTTTCATCAATAGACAGAATGATTTTAGAGGAAGGTTTATATGTATAATACATGCATATTATATAATATATAATTCTTCTGTCAATGTGTATGTGACAACTCCTAAACAGCTAGACCAATTTTGATGAAATTTTGTGTGTGATTAAGTTGATAAGAGAATGGTTTAGATTCAGTTTATTCTCATTGACATCATAATTCAATAATTCTAATTATTTAAATCTTAGTTCTTCTTGAACTTGCAACACCTTTCTCAAAGGAACTTAAACATTTCCATGCTGGAAATGATAATCCATTTTATTTTTATTAATTTTAATTAGTTTAATTGTTTACCTTCATTAGCCAACATAATTTTTATTTCATTCTTGCTTAATTTTTTTGTAGTGACTACCCTGGCTTTTGGTTTTTTTGCACCATTTGCATCACTGGACTCTGTCAAAAAAATTAATTAAAATTTTAGATTTTATAAATATTCAGTTAAATACATGATAAAAATAATCATATTATTGATAAAAAGTTATTAAACATTGCAGGCATTAATGCAACACAGACTGAGAAAGGCAGTTTTATGAGAATTCGCTAAACAGCACACAACAGCTTAATTTATGATACATTTTACAGTAGAGCCTAATAATCTGAACACACATAGGCAAAGAATGCCACAATAAAGAAGAAATAAATAAACATAAATGAAAATACATTTACAAGGATTTTAAGGGACAGTAGCCTAATGGTAGGATGTGTACCGCAAATTCAATAACAATACGAATCTGGCTTTTGATTAATCTCATGAAACACTTCTAACACAAGCATTTAAGCTTACCTGATGTGATTAACTGGAATATTAATAATGTTAATAGCATTTTTATAACAATAAAAAAAAACATGCATTTGCAGAATGTACAATTAATGACTTGAAAGGATAAAGGATGTGAAGACTTTAAAGGTGTTCAGATAAACTCAGGTTTGAAGGTAGCATAAAGTTTTCACAAAATAATGTTACTTAAGGTGAAAGCTCCAGGGTGGCACACGAAATTCAAATTTTCTTACGTTTTTTGGAATTTGCAGGTCAGGGCCAGATTGAATGTTTAACAAAATATGATTAGCGAGTGTAACAAGTATGTATTTACAGAATTATATTCACTATAATCATTAATACAATCCCCTAAGTACGTATAATTCCTTTGAATGAGTTTTTCTGGAAATAGCCATACATTGGAATTATACAAACATAGACGGTTGTATTGATGATTATAATTCTGTAAATACATACTCGTTACACTAGCAAATCATATTTTGTTAAACATACAACCTGACCTGCAAATTGCAAAAAATGTAAGAAAATTTGAATTTTGCGGGCTTCCCTGGCGCTTCCACCTTAAGGATTAACCTAAAAATATTTAACAAAGATAATGTTTGAATCTTACTTAATTTATGACTAGTCACCACTCTGGCTTTAGTATTCTTTGTAGTTTCTGTAAAAAAAAAGCTATTAGTAACAACTTATTTTATTAAATAAAATAATGTTAAACAATTTTATTGCCCGAATACTTCAAAGTTTATTTATGGTTTTATGATAAATTTACTGCTTTTTTTATTGCGGGGGTATAATTTAACAGTAGGGCCAAACCTAGTTAAGAAGTAACATTACAGCTCATCACCAAACCACTGTAGAAGATAAGCTTCTGAACATAGAAAGTGTACAATTTCAATTAATAACACATCCCCTCTACAATGGCAGAGAACCATGTCCATCAGCGGACTTTAACAGGCTGATGATGAAGGATGAAGCATTGAGAGAGATGAAGGATGAAGGATGATCAAGGAGAAGAATAACACTGTTTTGGTGTGAATTCAAGAAATTGAGTATTAACTATTACTTAAGGAGAGCTATTTTACACATTTTGCTCTTCATCCTCATGAGTGAACATACATCTTTGGCTTCCCATGTTTTATGTTGTTTGCTGATGTCAATATGCACAGTAGTCACTCAAAATTAGATGCACCTTAGCTAAATTATTGTCATTCCAATTTTACATAACATCTAATAATAGACCTTTTGGGTGTAAATAGATAATATATAGGTGATTAAGAAAGCAAAATAACACTCACTCGCTGGTACTTCCACTCTAATCGAAGTTGGAGCTTTTAATTTAGTGATCTTCTTTGGCCCTTTTTTCCCTCTAGTTCCCTCCCCTTCTTCATTTAGTTGGTTCACGCGTTTTCTTGGAGCCATATTTTTATTACACAAAAGATGATGTTTTATAATATATTTTACGAACAGAATAAAAATTCTGCAATTGTTTATATTCTCTGTTACACATTCGCTTGATGAATTAGATTTACCCACACATTACTATTGAAATTAAAACCGTTTAGAACAAAATGTCTGTTAAATTTTGTTGATTATCAAATATCAGACTCTATGAAATATATTCAGCAATGATGTGTAAAGTGTAAATAAATTATGTAAAATGAAATATGTATGCTTTAGGCAAAATTTACAAGTGAATTACAAAACATGCGTCTTTGCTTTTTTTTTTGGAGTTTATGGCCTGGCATCTAGACCTTTAGGCCAAATGCGTCTTTGCTTGCTGTCAGCAGTGTTGCCAACTGCTAGCTTTACCCAGTTGCTAGACATTTTTCAAAATGTTGCTAGATTGCCGGCTTTTTTACCCCAAAAAGTTGCTAGAAGTAGCTAAATGTTACAGTACGTAGTTAGATTACAATAAAATGTCAATTTCTGACAATCATTTTTAATTTCCAACAAGAGAGTTAAAATGTCTTGTGTACAGTCACGAGCAATAATATGTAAACAACATAGAACTATATTATATTATTGTCGAGTTTTGTGGCACAAACATTTTGTTTCGGAACGCTTAACGTGACAAAGTTCTATGTTGTTTACATATTATTGCTCGTGACTGTACGTTATTGAACAAAAAAAAATAAGTTTAAAATTAATCAATCAAAGAAGAAGATGTCGATATTTGGGGTTCGGTGCCATTCGTCGTAATTCCGAATATTTTTCAGCGGTGCCCATTTTATACAGTACATCTTTAGATAAAACACGGTTATATAGCAGCATTTACCACTTTTCCTGTGGAATTCACTAATGCATAGGATTGAGTTCAGAGTTATGAAACTCAACCAACCTTTAAATTCGCCCATATTTTCCCACTTCGGTCTATATTTCTGTGCGTACGTTTTTTTTTTCGAAGATAAATCCAGTTTCAAATAAAATTAGTTTATATGGATAAAACAAAACAACACAAGGTCGAATACGAGTAGCGTGTACTATTTTGGTTAGTGGTAGGTTAGTGAGTAATCCGTCGTAACGCAGCAGGAAACGGGGAATTCCCGGCCAACACCGACCTAAACCTACCATAGCATCTATGACCACAGATTCGCATTTAGTTTTTATTTTTTCTTTCGAGACTCGGTACCCTACTTTACGAATCTCGATAGCCTCGCGTCTCATGATGAAATGAAAAGTTGTTAGAAAAAGTAGCTAAAAAGTTTAGCTACAAATTTTATTAAATTGTAGCTGTCCGTCACCAAAAAATAGCTATATCTAGCTATAAAGTTAGTAAGTTACTAAGAACTTAGTAAGTTGGCATCACTGGCTGTCAGGCAAAAGCAAGGTCCAGTGCTGCCACCTGACAATAAAGCAAATTAAAGCAAAGTTAGCAAAGGTATGCATCAGGCTGGTGCAACTTCCATAGTAAAAATTATATGTACTACAGGGGTCAAATTTTAATGACGGTTACTCTTCTTTATGCTTTTCGTGATATGTCTATTAACGACATTGTCAAATGAAATAGGTTCAAATGTCAAATCAAACAATTATATTTGTATATATTTTATTAATTAAGATTGCTTTTAATTTTGCTATAGGAGCCGTTGTTCATTTACAGAATTGTTAAGAAATTAAATATGCATTATAAAACTTTCCAATTAAATGGTGCAAGAAGCGGAAAAAATGATAACAAGAAAAGGCTATTCGTAACAATAGTTCCCTTAGATGATGAAAGGTATGTGGTGATTTCAACTTTAATAGTAATATGATATTCAACGCGAGTATATTTTTGGACTAGCCATTTATGTAGGACATGTTTTTATAGTGTACGTTTGTGTGCACAAATACAAACACACTATTTCCTAAATCTGATAGTTCGATGGTTTGGCAATCCAAAACGAACTATACTTAGAAACTACAAGTCAATTCTGACTGCTAACATTCTATTTGTTCAATAATAATGTGATTTTATTTATATTATTTTTTCAGATGCAAGCAATGGGTGAAATAGCTGGCACATGCACCAATTGAAAAGATTCACATGTTAAGACATATTTGTGACAAACATTGCATATGAACCCAACTAAAACTAACTGTTATTTCTTTAGTGGACTTACTTTAAACTTCCACAATTTATGTGTATGTTAATTAGGTTTCATTTACATGTAGCAAAAGATAATATCCCTCTAAAGTCACATTTTGGCAAGAATTAGATTATATAACTAAATCATTATTTTATTCATCAATAAACATTAGCTATAATGAGCACTTAATTTGAAAGCGACAATTAGTAAACGATCTCTGCGAATAGTATGTACATAGGTGCCTGTGTGAAGAAGCCTAGCAATTTGGACATAGTATTTGTTACACATAAAAGCAATTTAATCCAATCAGTATTAAAAACCTAATATTTTTACCCTTAAAAAAACTAACGTTGAAAACAAGCATCCAGACGCAGACTATTTATTTTACAGCATAGCAACAATTGTTCAGCGCGGGAAGGAAGCCTCGGTCCTGCAATGCCGCAGCCAAACGCTTAGCCACTGCGCTACGGAGTCGTCATTTATTTTTTACTTAATTAATTACTAGTATAAAAGTGCGTTTTTTATTTTACATTTTTTTTATAAATACTTTTGTACCTAATTGTAGAGATATAAATACAAATTGCTGTGAGTAAAATACATTGATTTCTTATCCTCATCGGCATTTTTACTCAATCCACACGTTAAAAATTTTATTTCTCATAAATAATTCAGTATAGAGATCTAACTTTTCTTATGTAAAAATATCGATAAACGATATATCGATAAAGGTTATATCGATAAAATTATTCGAGGATAGACATTTACAGCACTATTGTAATTCGTCAATGCTGTCAGCACTGTTTCTCAAAACTAAATGTCATATCTTGATGTTGGTAGAGTAACTTGGCGTAATTTCATGCAATTATTTTTACTATGGAAGTCCCGCCTCTTAAACGTAGTGATTATATTCTCTTTGGTATGCATGGTATGTATCAAACTGTCAAAGCCATAGAATATTTTAACTCCTAGCGGAGAGTCAAAGCAAAAGTAGAAACCGTTACTTTAAAGGAGACAGTCCATTTCTGGCCCAGTCTATGTACAGTATACCGTAAAAAAGAGAAAAATTCAGCGATTTTGTTAAAAATAAAATGAGAGAATAAATCAAGCTAAATAACTTGCTAAAATAAAAATGCAATCCCAAGTTTTTGATGGTTTTTCAAGATGGCGCCCTTCCAGTCATAAAAAGACGTGATTTTTGGTGAAATGACTTTTCTGTCAAGTGATATTTTTATTTATTCCAAGCTTGATTGTGTAGTTGTGAACTTGTGAATGCGTTTAATTGTGGATTTCTTTGGTGATTTGGTTTTTTGTTCTTCCTTTGGACCAGTTACTTCTTGTTTGACTCTGCTTTTGTTTTATGGATTTCAAGATTTACGTGAGATTTTGATTTCGTTGATGTCGGACACCTGTATTTTGTAGAATCAAATTTTGAATCAGTAAGCAGGTATGTACTAAAGAAAGATGTTTCCGTAAGCTATTAAACGCATTTGAATAACATGCTTCTATCTGTAATCTGTTAATAATTATTAATTTCTACATTACTTCATAATGGCTGCAAAATCTTAACATAATGTAATTATCTTTCAGTTCACCTGTTAAAACATGTTGCACTGTTTAAGATACGCTTCTGCAATATAGATAGTTTATTAAAATAAGATTGTTTTGTTTTAGATGGATGAAAATGCACCAATATGTTCACAGTGTTTTGCAAATGTATTACAAGAATTATCTATCGGCACAAATCTTGAAAATGAGCTCCAGCGCCCTAATGCCAATACTATCAGTATATTGTGTGTTTGGTGTCCACGAAGACTGGTTAGCAGACAAATTGTGACCCAATTAATGTCATCCCAACAAGACTCTGTTTTAATAAGAGGCCGTATAAATCTCGCCAACACTCGGGCAGAGCTTATTATACATATATACTGTTGGCGAGACAAAGGACAAGTTGGGATGAGATGATTGCAGGTTATTATTGCAGTTTCACTTCTGTACAACAGACAGTGGGTTGCTGTGCCCACATAATGACCATTGTCTGGTATTTGGGTTGGGCTCGGTATCAAAATTCCATAACCGCACCGGCCTCAATTCTGAATGGCATTTTAGTAAGAGAGGATTTTGAAGTAGGATAAATAATAAAAAAATAAAAAAATAAGTTGTTTTATTTATTAAGTATCCAAACCATAATTGACCTAATGTTTCATTTTCTATAATTCATAGGACTGTTAACGTTTGTTGTGATATTATCCAGGCTTTAAATGTCTGTCAAGGCTCAAGGCATACTCTGACACGCTGAGGACTTGTTATATAAAAATATTTGTACGCCGGAAACGGCAGAATATTTAGGATGCGAATTCTTTTATAACAACTGTAATGTATCATATTATAACAAATAAATTATCCTACCTATGATAGTACCCTAGCACTTCAGCAGCCCAGAAAGACACATACCTGAACAGAAATTAGTATACAGGATTATTCTATTTATCCACCTTAAAACAGCCACTCTAAGGTAAAATAAATTAAATATATTCTTTATTATTAGTGCAGTAAAGTAGTATACATCTCAGGGTGGATATTTTAGGGTAGAGAAACAGAGTTACCAGCTATTCACATATAGTCTCGGCTTTGAGCTATCTGGCACAAAATTGGTAATAACTAACAAAACACCTAGGCTTCATTTCCCCATGTAAAACAAAAAAAGGCCTGGATGCCCCTGGCACTGAAGTGTGCATTAGTACACTAATGAATGCAAAGAAATAATTTTGTGCGTAGACACCGTTGATTTATCTCAATAATCTTTTTGTCTAGAATTAGATTGGAAGTACTTTTTACATTTGTTTTCTCCTGAACTGCATTTATGATATGCAAATATCGACAAGAACGTTAGTTGTTTTAAGATCAAAAAAGCACATACACAACCTATAATACACTTTATTTGTGTTTTGATAAAACAATACAACTTTTTTGCTCTACTTTCATACTAGTTTCGAGACATTTTAGCTATTTTACATAATAAATCTACCTGATAGGATATAGGCTATATATTCGCGTAGTGTAGTGTATATTTTCTTTGCTATAGGTGATATGAGTATATTTCAGAGTTGACAGCTAACGTCAAATCAAAACGATATCTAAACGTAGTGGTTATA